CCGTTGTGGCCTCTCCCGTTGCGGAGCACAGGCTCCAGACGCGCAGGCTCAGCCGCCATGGCTCACGGGCCCAGCCGCTCCGCGGCATGTGGGATCTTCCGGGACCGGGGCACGAACCCGTGTCCCCTGCATCGGCAGGCAGGCTCTCGACCACTGCGCCACCAGGGAAGCCCTCAACTAGTAATTTTTTGAATAAGGTTCATCTCATTGATTATTAGTTACTGCCAGCTTCTGCTTTAAGTATTTCTAAGTACAACTCATAATCCTACATCTTTATTCTACATATGTTTAAAAGTATGTCATTTGGCAAAAGTGATGTGTTTGCTCAGCTGTGTGCTAAAGAAAGCTATGTAGAGTGCTCTCCCTGGAGGAAATGTTTGATGTGATCCCCAGCTGAAGGCACGTCCTCATTGATTCTAGGCACAGGTATCTAGTGTGAGAACTGCTGACTAAATGAGTGATCACTGGAGACTTTCCTTCCTTCCTTACATTTAGAATATTTGCACACGTCATTTCCCATATTTATTACATTCTAATCGTTTCCCCAGTATAGATATTCATGTTCATCAAGAGGCATTCCCCTGCTAAAAACTTTCCTACATTCATTACAGTTTTCGAGTTTCTCCCCAGAATGAGTTTTCTTACGCACATGAAGGTTAGATCTGTGCGAAGGCTCTTCCTCATTGGTCACATGCATAAAGTTTCCTCTCTCCCACATGAATTCTCTTATGTATATGAAGGTTAGCTGTATTGCTGAATTATTGCACATATTCATCATATTCATAGGGTTTCTCTAGAGTGTGAATTTGTTCATGTTGATAAAGGGATGAATGATGACCAAAAGCCTTCCCAGTGTTGACATTCAAAGAAGTTTTTTTTTCTTCCTCCAGTGTGTTTGCTCTTGTGTAGTTCAAGAGATGATCTCTGTAGACTTTTCCACATTGAAAAATGTCATAGGGTTTCTCTCCTGTATGAAATCTCTGGTGTGTATTAAGTGTTAGCTGAATTCTTATTCATATTCATTGTATTTATAGGACTTTTTCTTCATTATGAATTATCACATGTCAAGCCAATGCTGAGTTCCCATACTCAGTATATCGAAAGGGCTCCCCTCAAATGTTGATTCTCTATACTATCATGCCATTAAATATAATAGTTACTTCCTGCAAATAACCTGCATGAAAATTATATCTGAGTTTTTAAATCCATTTTCCCTGCCTGGACTCAGGCTTTAGTAAAATTATCTTCTTTCCTTCCATAGCTCCTCTTGATGCTCTAACTGGAAAATTACTCAGATTTGCAAAGCTGAAAACCCAACTGCTGGCAAAACTATTATATCAGCTTGAGCCATCCTCAATTCCATTGCCGACCACGTGAAAGACATGGTGATAACCGAAGGAAAATTAAAGAAAGAGTACAATCAACCCACAGAGACCAGGTGACTAATCTCATCTCTGTACAGCTTCGAGATGTCAAGCATGGGTGAAGTCCAAGCCACAACTTCAAGGCCCTGATTCTTGTGGTTGCACCATCAAGAACCCAGCAGCCATCCTGTCTTCCTCTGTATATACTCTCCTAGGAACAGGCAGAGCACTAAGCATGCAAAGCAGCCAGGACAAGATGGAAACAACTATAAGGCTGTGTTAGGAAGATGTTATCACCACCCTCTGGAGGTCAGGAAAAAAAATCTCATGTTAGTTCAGCATTCCCCTCATTACTAGTGAGATTTGAGCTTGTATTCATATGAACTTGGGCCATTAGATTTCCTCTGAAGTAAAGGGCCAATTTTTCTAATGAGTTTTGCTGACTCTTTTTTCCTCATCATTTCCGAAGACTCTTAGAATATTATAGCTATTAACTCCATGTCATCTATGATGAATATTTCCCCTTTCAAATGTATCACTTATCTCTTGGCTTTGTTTGACAATATTGCCTTTAAGAGTTTAAAATTTTGGATGAGTAAATTGGTCCATCTTTTCTTTTATAATTTCTGATTTTCCATTTTGGTTAAGCCCCTCCTCCCACAAGCCCAGATGATAAATGTAGACATAAATTTTCATCAAATATCTTTGTCATTTTTAATATTTTATTATTTAATTCACGTAGAGTTATTTTTATATATGATATAATGAAAATGATGTTTTCTAACTTAATACTCTTTCAGATAGATGCTTTATGCCAGAACAATTTGTAAAGCACCCTGTCACTTCTAAATTAGAGTATCTTATGTGTCATGTTATTAAATTCTCATGCACACTAACATCTTTCCCTGGACCTTGTATTTTGTTCCACTGATCAACTGCTATATGTATACAATTTGTTCTGATTATAGAGGCTTCACGTTACATTCAGATAGTTGGGAAGTTAAATCCTTTCACATTCTTTTCCATACTTCCTTTAGGTCTGTATTTTTCCATATAAAATTTAGTATTGTATTATGCAAACCCCTCTAACAATGAAACTCTGATGGCAGTTCTACTTGAACCGCATTAAATTTATTTATTCATTTATAGGTATAGAAGACAGAATAAGAGAGACTTTCCTATACTGAGTCTTCTCATCCAAGAATACAGAATATCTATTTGCTCAGATCTTGTATCTTTAATAGCTATAATACAACTTTTACAGCTTTAACAGCTACAAAATGACAATGATATATCACCTCACACTTGTTACAATGACTATCATCAAAAAGATAAGAGATAACAAGTGTTGGGAAGGATGGGGAGGAAAGAGAACTCTTGTGCACTCTTGGTGGGAATGTAAATTGCTGGAGACACTACGTAAGACAGTATGGAGATTCCTCAAAAAATTAAAAATAACTACTTCATTTAGTTCTCTTCTAGTTTAATTTTTCTAGTTTAACTTTTACTATGAAATGTAGCATACAAACAAAAGAGTTTATAAAAACATTTACCTACAAAACATTGCGTAAAACAAAAATAAAGCAAACATTCATGTACTAACAAAGACAGAAAACATTACAAATACTCCAAAAGCCCACTAATGTAAGCCTCCCTGAAATCATAACTCTTCCTTTGGTAACCATTATCCTAAACATGGTGCTACCATTCCTCCCTTTTCTTAATACTACTTTTTAAAGCTACTTATTTGTGTATTTCTAAGGAATATGCTGTTTAATTTTTCCTGGCTTTTAAATTTAAATAAATGGAATTGTACTGAATGGCTTCTTCTGTAATTTGCTTCCCACCCCGCCTCAATTTCATGTTTGTAAGAATCATAACACACTGCTACATGGAACTGTGGCTCCTTCGTTTTTACTGCTGAGTAATATTTTATGGAATAGATATGCTACAATTTATATACCTTTTCCTATCATTGATGATTACTCAGATTGCTCTCATTTTTGCTATTGTAAGCAATACAATGGCCCACAGCCAAATCCAGCTGTCTTTGTATGGGCCATAAGCTAAGGATGGTTTTTACATTTTTAAATGGATGAAAAGTGTAAGCTTCACTCTTACATTCTCTTTAACCTCAAATGAAAGTGTCTTTTATAGGAACAATTATTGGCCAGTGTTGTTTAGTGTAATAATTGGTATTCTTTATATATTTTTCATCCAAGCAATTTTATGCTTAATACTTACATAGTTTTCAACTCTCTTTCCCTAACATTTGCTGTGTTGAACAAGCTGTTCTTTGTTTCTTTTCCTCCTTGCTAATTGAGAATTATGAAGGAGATATGTTCTTTAAGTCCTTACATATAAGCAAATTTCTTTCTTTCATCAGGATAGGTAAATATTCTGGGATGGATAAAGGATTCTTGGATCATTATCCTTTTTCTTCTCAGTGGTGTGTGAAATCATACATACCTCCCCACTGCCAGTGTTACATATAAGAAGTCTGTTGCTAGTCTAATAACTACCTTTTTGCAAGTATCTTTGCTTCTTTGTTTGCTTTGATTTTGGCCTGGTATTTTGTAAGATTTTCACTTTATGTTTGAAGATTAGAATTTTCTCAGGCTGTGCCTGAGTATGGGAATTTTTTTTAAAGTCCTTTCACTTGCAACAAATTGGCTAGGACCTTTAAATTATGAGGTTCAGATATATTTTGAGCTCAGGAAAATTTCTTCTATTTTGTCTAATATGTCTCTTGTCCTGTACTGTCTTTTCCCCTTCTATTACAACTTAATATATTGGGTCTCCTTCATGATTTTTCTTGGATTTTTTGCTCTGTTTGAAAATTTGAAAATTACTTTGGGACATTTCTTATGTTTGACCTTCCAGATAACCAATTTGAGTCTCAACAATAACCTTTTCAATTCCTCTACTGAAATTTTTAATCTTAAAATAAATATTTTTGTTGTTGTTAATTTGCTTAATTAAGAATGTCTTTATATATATATATTTATTTATTTATTTTATTTATTTACTTTCGGCTGTGTTGGGTCTTTGCTGCTGCACGCGGGCTTTTCTCTAGTTGCGGCGAGCAGGGGCCAGTCTTCGTTGTGGTGTGCGGGCTTCTCATGGCAGTGGCTTCTCTTGTTGCTGAGCACGGGCTCTAGGCACGTGGGCTTCAGTAGTTGTGGCTTGCAGGCTCTAGAGAGCAGGTTCAGTAGTTGTGGCGCACGGTCTTAGCTGCTCCGCGGCATGTGGGATCTTCCCGGACCAGGGATCGAACCTGTGTCCCCTGCGTTGGTAGGCGGATTCGCAACCACTGCACCACCAAGAAAGCCCTAAGAATGTCTTTTTAAAGCCACACTTGAACATCTTTATTTGGTTTCTTTGGGTTTTTTTGTTATTCAAGTTGTCATCTGTTTGTTCTGCTTTTTTCCAAAGCTCTCTGAGATGTGTTATTTTTCTATTCATTAGGTCCTAGTTCAGTTCCCAGGTGATGATTTATGATGGTAAACACAGCAGGCTCTGGTCCCATAGGTCCCCAGATACTGTAGCAGGCAGTCTGCGATTCCAGGGAAAAATCAGGAGCAAGCCCCTCTGCTCCTGTCCTCCCTGCTTTCCTTTAGCTTTCTCCCCTCAGAGATGAAGAGGATTCCACTGCCTTCATTCCAAAAATCCACCATTTTCTAAAGGCCCAGCACTCCCCCTATCTACTACATTCAGAATCTAACCATGACCACTCTCCCTCCACCAAAAATCCCCAAAGCAACCACCTGCCCCAAGCTCTCACTTATGGCAGCTCTCTCTGGACTCCTCACCTGCACCAGCGCTTTGCAGGAGTACCAAGAAAACATCAGACCTCAATCACACCTCCCTACTCCTAGTCGCCAACTCAGCCAACTAAAGTAGATGGGTTTCAGTGGAGTGCGTAAGTGAGGAGTCTATACAGATCCACCATCTATACAGAATTCATATAAACTATTTTTGAAATTTAATAAATAAAACCCTCCATGAGAAATAAAGCTTTATCCAATCCTTCGGGGGGGAAAAAGGCTATACTTAGGGAAAATAAAGTCATTTCTACATTATTAACATAGCAATATAATATTATTAACATTGTAGAGCTCATATACCTTTCTCTAGTTCCACTGGGAAAAGTTCCAGCTTTTCTACACGCTTTTCAAGTTCATACTCGGCTGAAGCAGCCACAGGGTCAACTTCATCATTTCTCCTGTCATAGTCTTCATTGGAGTATGTGCTGAAGACCTGTAGTAAGATATCAACAAAAAGATGAAAATCTAGAAAAGACAGTTTTCTTGATTAAAAAAAAAATCTGCTACATATCCAAAGCTACGTAAGTTAAAAATTTTGTACGAAGAATTTCTTCTAAACAACTGTTTTGTCATAAAATCAACTGAGAAGAAAAGGAAAACTGAATCAGAATAAAAATAACTTACTAATTTAAAAAATGTACCACTTTTAATAATTTGAGAGACAACATTAGCCACAGAATACATTATATGGTTAGCAACATTTATCACTTTTTATAGAATCAGAGTATACCATATTAGCTGCAATAAAATTAAGGTAAAGCATCTTCAGGCTTTATTTACCGAAGCAAATACCCACACTGAACCCATTTCAAGCTATGACCTATACAAGCCCTGATGTTGCAGTGTGCTGGTTTTATTAGAATTATATTTCAAACATAGAATCATTGAAACTGACTTCTATTCTGTACTGGGCTGTGTTAAGCTCTCATTTGTCATCTCTCATTTTACTTCCATGTAGATATAAATTAAATCCTCATTGAACCTTTTAATGAAATGACTATCAAAATATTGCTCAAGAGCTGCAGAACAAACAGGATATTGGTAGCTCTTTATTTCTGACCTAAATCATTCAAAAGACTACTAAATGTGGTCTTCAGATGTAGCTGTACATCTTCTTTCTGCTGAAATATTTGTTTTATTTGAAAAGTAACTGGAAATAGGTATACAACCCCTCACTTAATACACTGAAGAATATTTTTTAAAAGAAATGTATAATTCATCAAGCCTAATTAATTTGCATGATAAAAACTGACATTTTCAATTAAATTCAACAATTATGAAGTATCTAGACTGTGCCTGACAAAACTTTGTCATGTCCTCCCAAATCTAGGAGTGAGTAGTTTTTAAAAATATATACTTTAAAAAGTGATAATAAAAACATCAATAGAAAGCAGAACAGAAGGTCAGAGATGAAAGAAATTAAGTCTATTGCCTATAAAGCTGGCCCTGCTAGTCCAGATGTGCTTTACATTCATATTATTGGAAAACTGGCAACTCTTACATGCTGTATATGGTAACCTATAAAACAGAAATATATACTGCGTACAAAGAAACAGATGTAGTGTGGTTCCTAATTCTACATACTTCTCAAAATCGTGTCATTTATAGGTTTTGTACCAGAATGAATAACTGTTTTTCTTCCTGACTTTCAACATGTTTTCATAGCCTTGTACCATTCACTTGGTCTCTACCACATTTCTCCAACACAATAAACATTTCTACATCAAAATGAACACTTCTAAACTATGGGGTTTGTACCTTTTAAATTAATCTTTTCATAAAATATGCTTCCTATGCCCCTTCCATAGAACCTTCCAATATTTTTCTTAAATTGTCAGGTTTATGACTTCCTCTTAGACAGCCTGTTTGATCTTTCACTTCCCTTATATGTTTTGGTAATCACTTATTTATTCATTCATCAAAAATTTACAAAGAATCAACTCTATGCCAGACATTGTGCTAGACACTGAAGAAGGTACAGTTTCAAGTAGCTCACAGCTCAGTAGGGACATGGAAATCAAAATAAACTAAAATATATGTGATAACTGATGTAACAAAGGAATATACCAAGTAATTTTTTTATTGTCATGAATTTCATGGAGGGGAAAATATTTGAGTTGAATCTTAAATAAACAAAGATTCACATATTCAAATGTAGAAGAGGTGGAATGTATATTTCAAATATAAGACACTAGAAAAAATCTATATCTGTATCTTTCGGAAAACATCGACAGTTGAGTGGACCACAGTGCAGCATGCCTAGGGGAACAAACTTTAACAACATACAAAAAAAGTTACTTGGATCTGGAACGTACATGTCCTGGAAACTATCGGCAGAGATGACCGGAAATTATTCCATTGATGTTTGCCACTTGTCTACTTCTGCTAATAGGTTCAAGTATATGATTGCTAAACAAGGATTCAAACGATATTCATACGGGAACATAACTCAATTTTGCTACCAACTTAATGTATGAATTAAAAAATGTGTGTATACATACACATGTATATATGTGTATATGTGTTTGTGTGTATACACACACATCTGCTATCAAATGTCCTTCCCCAATCAGTCTGGTTTATAAAGTCCATTTGGGGATAACCAGAAATTAAATAAAACAAACAGAAAACTAACTATATGACTACATATTGGAAAACAGTACTTTAAATAATGTTTGAGGCATGTAGCAATCAGATGACCATATCACCATTTAATTCTGTAGAGAAGAAATAATGTAATATACTTTTCATCTTCAGCTTGTTCATAGTCTGGTAAATTATGTGGGCACATAGGTAAAACCTATAAATACATGAAACAGAAAAGCCAAAATTCATTATTTGCAAATTAAGCTTTTGTTTACCTGGAGAATCCAAGAGGTTAAACAGAAAAACTGTTAGAATGAACAAGAGTTCAGTGAAAACAGAATTTCAAAACTACCAAAAAAGCCCATAATAGCTTTAGAAAATATAACAGAAAAGATCAGAAATTATAAAATACTCAAGAATTGCTGATTATAAATGTGCAAGGATAGCCTTTATCTATAAAACTTAACTGAAAAATTCAAAAAGCCTTGAATAAGTGTAATGCCATACTATGTTATTGGATTAAAATCCTTAATATTGTAAAAACCTCTATGATCCTAAATTACTGTAAGTGTCTCTTTGCCCCAATTTAATTTATGAATTCAGGGCAATCAAAATTAAAATCCCACTAACATTTTTCATGGAAACTAACAAGCTGCTAGCAAACAAGGAATAAGGATGGAAATAGACCCTATCAGATACCAAAACATACAATAAAACTTCGTTTATTAAGGCAGTGCAGTTTGCCCCAAGACAGATCTATTTTTGTACTCTATTCTGTTTCACTCCTCTACTTTTCTATTCAAATTAGCTTGGGTGGTCTATTCAATAAATAGTAGGGAAAGAACGAGATATCCATATGAAAAAAGATTCCTATTTCATATGATTAACAAAAAGTAAAACTTAACATTGGTTAAGAACAAAAATTATAAACTATTAAACTGCTAAAAGAAAATATGGGACAATGTTTAACAGGCTAGAGAGGACATTCCCAAAAAGCCGTAGATCCTAGAAATCCTAAAGAAAATGAGTAAACTATTTGATTAAAAATTAATGCTAAAAACTTCTAGGTAACAAAATATACCATAATGAAATTACAAAACAAGTCAAATATTAGGAGAATATATTGCCAAATATCAAAATGAAACATGAATATTCATGATATAAAAAGGGTTTTATCAACTTAAACAACTACATCTGTAAGTAGGGGAAAGGAAACTGAGAATTCAACAAAGACATATCAATAAATGATGTAAAGATGCTCAACTTCATTAAAAATTAAGCAAATTCAAGAAGTAAATACTATATATTCACCCATAGGATGATTTTTTTTTAAAAAAAGATTGCAACATCCAGTGTTTGTGAGGATATAGGAAAAAGAATACACTTGGAAAAGCAGGAAAAAGGTCGCAATTTGAGAATAGCTATCAAGATTTTAAATGTAAATGCCCTTGATCCAATAACGCTATACCTAAGTATTTATAGAGATACTTGCAGGTGTGCACAGATACCTGTGCAAGGAAGTTCATTACAGAACTATTTATAATAGCCTAAGATGGAAAATTACCTAAATGTCCAATGATAGAGAAAATGTCTTACTAAATTATAATATATACAAATATGTAATTTCATGCAATGATTTAAAAGATCTATCTCCGCTGACATGAAAGTCTCTGAAATACATATATTATTTAACCAAAAAAGCACATGGCAGATATATCTACTGATACATCCTTTTGTATCTATTTATATATTTCTATATATATATATAGGTATAAATATGTTCTCAATTGGTATGATCCTAACTTTAAATTATATACCTCCTAAATTCTCTAGCTATGTATCTCTTGCCAAATTGTAAAACCACTCTAACCCTCAGTTTCATTATTCACAAAATGGCTATTATAATAATAATACCTACCACATAAAGTTGCTGTAAGAATGAAATGAGATAGTCCAAATAATTATGCTGGGTTCAATGTCAGGGGAGGGAAAGCTGTCCCAGGGTAATATGAGAGATAACAATATTGCCCCAGATACCTACACTCACCTCATATTCTCATTTATAAATAAGTTTTGAATATTTCATCCACTATGATGCTTAACGCCCTTGGAACAAAAATCTGCAAGACTAATTTAGTGTTATAATGTAGACTGGCCTGCCAAATTCCCTACCCGTGTCCAGAGCAATACAGTATCGTTACACAATGGCTCATCTGCCGCCAGGCTTTGTTTTGCCTTCATCAGGTAGAACCTCAGAGATGAAAGGAAAACTGACCTAGGTAAAGGCTTCCCCTTTCATCAATATGGTCATGACTCTTTCAGTATTCTTATAATAGTTCTATCATTTTTATTTATATTACCATAACTGCTCTACAAATATATATGAATAGTTAATTACACAAATAATAATCAGAGCTCCATCATGATACCACTGCAATGCAAAAATGCAAAAAACTAAAGGCCAATGGCATCCTGGGTCCTAATATTCAACGCCATTCAAGATATAAACATATATATTTAGTTCAGTCACCTTCACATTGTTCCTGCTTTATTTCACTGAGAAAAGCAAACAAAAGGATGTTTAAGTTAAGTTTAAGACTTCTTGTTTCAGAGCCAACGAGTGATATTCTATTCCTTGATCAAAGGAAACAAAACAAGACCATATCCCTTGCTTTGCAGCAGAGGCAGGCTTTTAGGGATAACAAGTTTACAAATACAGTTAGCAATGACATTTCTGACCCAGCAACCCAAGGCTATGGAAAACAAATAAAGTTAAAATTAGCTTATAAGATTTCAACTAGAATCATTCTTTTTCACATTTCTGGTAGTTTGAGCTCCAACACTTTT